TGTCTGTTGAGAGAGACTACCTGTCTGCCACCTGTTCTGCCCATAGAAGAGAAGCATCCGCCTCTGCTCTCGATGCTTATGTGGTCGTTCTCGTTGCTACGGGGGACAAAGCGGATGCAGGTGCCTGTGTGGAAGGACTTCAAGCCTCTGTCGATGACCTGCGTCTCTGCGCCGGTGAACTCATTGCTGATGACGAAGGGAATCGTCACCAAGCCGTTGGAGGCTTTCTTCCAGAGGCACTGCTGGTAAAAGCACTTCATTGCATTTCTGGTAGTGGGAACCAACACGTCTCCTTCCAGCAACATCTCATTGGAGCCGTTGTTGGAGTTCAGAATCCTGGTGCTGATATCGATGCTGTCATCTTCGTCCATTTGGTCATTTGCTTCGGTTCCTTCATCAACGAGCGGATATGCTTCTGAGAACCCCAGCAGGAGCAGCAGCAGCAGACTAGCAGTGGGAGTCATCTTCACGTTGGGGCTGGTGGCTGTGGAGCTGATGTGGGGAGACTCTTTGAAGGTTGATGTTGGACAGCGCAGTCCAGGCTCTTTATACTTTCCTATACAGGTGTGTCTGCAGGAGGATTATGGGTAGTGGTCCACACTGCTCAGCCTAAATAAACCTCTCAGAGGAGGACTCCACAGACAAACATACTGTTTCAACATAGTGGGTCATCTCTGGTGATTAGATGAATAAACACGCAAGGCTTTTGGGTGGGTCATGTTTAACTAGACATCAAAAATGTTCTTCAACCTAAAGACATCACATTGACTTAGACTAATAGTTTTTGCAAATTGGGCAAATTAGGCCTGAACAATTAATGGATGGATGTCAAAACGATGTACAAATGTTCTCAGCAGTAGCTAAATAGTATGAATGTCAGATTTTAAAAAACTCAAAATATTTTGATGCTGTCTCACTCTCCCAAAAAACAGCTTGGACAAAAAACAGTTGCAATTTTTTCAACATTGCGATAGCTGCCTTCAATTTTCAAGACCAAAAAAGTAATATCTTTATTAATGTTGGATAGATTGGTGTGAATGCACCATATGAATAATTAAACCAAACACAACGCAAATGTTTCGCATCACTCAAGCACTCCAAACACACTGCATACTTTCAGAGGACAATTTCTGAACTATTTGCATGAATCGCGCTCTTCCATCTTCTATGAGCCGTAACTAGATTCCGCTAGACTGGTCACGTTAGGCTAGGAATAAGCGGCATTAGCTGGACTAGTCATGTTAGACGACGAAACTAAATTGATCACAGGTTGGCGGGTCAACCGGAAGACCTACTTCTTTGGAACTGCAAACAGGTCACGTTAGACCAGAGTCTACTAGATTGGCGAGCAAGGACGTCTATGGTCATGAGAGAAAATCCCCTTGAATAATTTGTGTGAACTGCTTAGCGCTGATACTGCTACAACAGGCCACTGGGCAAATGAAATGCCAATATACAAGCTATGTGAATATAATGACAGTTCAGTTATATGCATGACTTACCCAACCTCCTAAAGCGTTCCAAAACCCGATTCACCATCCTGGAAGTTTGTGAATGTAGGGGGTGCAGGCAGCCCAACTGGTGGCAGGGTTGAAGAGGAGATGCCTTTAGTGTAGAGCAGAGGGGGTTCCCCTTAAAAGAATGCCCTCAGTTCTGTTGGTGATAACTTCCTTATGCGGATAACCTCTAATAGTCCAGCCAGGAATTTTAACCCTTAAGGCTGGCGCATGCTTCTGCGTCTTCAGGCACCGTTGTGTCGACGCACTCGTTTCAATTCCTGGTTCTAAAAGGCTTGCGTGTGTTGCAGAGCAATTCACCGCCAGAACAATAGGTGGAGTAGTTTTTTGTCGAAGACGACATGGAGAGTCACGTCTTTGTGTGTGGAAGTCATTGGTTTATTTATCATAGACTTTATTGTCCCGTGCATCGACACTGTTGCTTTTCATCGCGGAAATATTTGTCCTGTATTTTCCTCCACAACTTTGTGCACCTCTCGACCGGCAAACCGACGTTTGCGGAGATCTCCCTCCATGAATCAGAGGCCATCCGCGCGTCCTTAGAGTCCGCCAATGACAGGTTGTAGAAGTGGTCGTATTTACGGATTTCTTCCGACAAAAACTCTTCAATCTGATCCGTTCTCTCGTAAACATTCTTCGTTTTAATAATGGTATTGTTCTATGAAAACAGAAATGTGAGACTTTGGAAAGAATGTAGCAGACCAACAAAGCCCGCGAAAAAAAAAAATGGGTCGACGCACGCATGAGGTGTGAAAAGGCACGCAAGGGACACAAAAGGGGCTCTTACGTCTGCGTGTCCTTGCGTCTCTCTGAAAACGCAGAAGCATAAACTAGGCTTCAGTCGTATGAGATGCATGTAGTGGTAAACTATGTTACAACACTGTCTTGTGCTAAAGCCATGTCTCAAGTGTCTGTATTTAACTTTGATGTGCAAAGACAGAAAGAATTAAAGATTTGCAGCTGTGTCTGAAGAAGGGAGTTAACTTGCTCTCACAGACGCTCGAACAAAGGAGCAGTGTGTGTTACCCTCAACTTCATCTGGGTGATCAGCTGCAATCTGCCGTCTCTCCAGGATTTGTTTGCTTCCGCGACCATAAAGCGGGCTAAAAATATTGTTGCCGACCCCTTTCCCCCCGGTCCAAATTGTTTGTGCCCCTTCCATCTGGCACGAGGCTGAGGTACGTCAGGACCGAGAATTCCCGCCACACAAACAGTTTCTTCCCGTCAGCAGTCGGGCTCATCAACAGAGCGCGGGTCCCCCACTGACTGACTCTGTCATCCCTTTTTCCACCAATCACTCCCTTCACACTCCACATACACATACACTGGTCACTTGTCACTTTCACATTATTTGACACACTTCAATCCTGAATTGAATGGTTAAACTGAAAAGGATGAGAAGGTCTAATGTTGGCAAAAGACTGTCTTCCAAAGAAAATTACTTCAGTTTAATTGCCGTCAGATTTGTTCGTTTGAAAATAATAAGCCTTAAGTTACCACTGATTGCGTCTATTTTAGTTCCACCTCAAAGCCAGATTTTAGGGCAGCTTCTTGATTGCACTATTGTTAAACATTCTATTCTTATTTTAAGGAACAGTACCCCCAGTTACTCGGCCAGCGAAGCCGGATGCATCAGTAGCTGCCGGGACGTGTCTCTCCCTGTACACCAACAGCTGCACCTCCACTCACCAGTCCGTCAAGCTCCTGAAGTTTGGGGATGACACCACCCTCATTGGACTGATCTCCGGTGGGGACGAGTCCGTCTACAGGTGGGAGTCTGACCCTCTGGTGTCGTGGTGCAGTCAGAACAACCTGGAGCTCTAAAGACAGTGGAGATGGTTGTGGATTTCCGGCGGAACAGAGCCCCACCCTCCCCCATTACGCTGTGCGACTCCCCCGTCACCATTGTGGATTCCTTCCGTTTCCTGGGCTCCATCATCACCCAGGACCTCAAGTGGGAGCTGAACATCAGCTCCATCACCAGGAAGGCTCAGCAGAGGTTTCTTCCCGTCGGCAGTCGGGCTCATCAACAGAGCCCGGTCCCCCACTGACTGACTCTGACATTCCACCGGTCACTCTCTTTCATACTGCACATGTCACTTTTTAACTGTCATTTTTCACTCGTCACATTGTCGTCACTCGTCACTTTGTCACTTGTTCGCTAGTGCACTTTATTTTTTTATATTTTTAAACTTTTTAAATATTTTTATTTTTAACTTTAACTTTATTCTCTTGTTTTATACTAACCCATAGCCTTATTCTACTAACCCATAGCATTAGCATTTCATTTTATTTTACCACTTGTGCACTGCTACTGTCACACACCAACTGCCAAGTCAAATTCCTGAGCAGACGTGGGTGGAGCGAGGCTTCGACGAAATAAATATATCGTTATCCAATTGGATAAGGAAATGTCATAAGTGCCCTCTAGACTGTCCTCCACGCTTAATTGGATTTGCAGTGAAATGAATAATGTAGTGACCAGAGTTTTATGGGTTTTTACATTAATACCAGCATGGCAGTACATAATGGCATCCCCCCTAACCATATCCCCTTGTGCCTATTTAATTAGGTTAATGCTCGAGTCAGAAGTAGGTGGTGGTCCTGTCCAAACCTCGGTACTGTAGGTACCGGTTGTGGATGGGCTACGTGAGGAGCCTAACATCTCGACTGACCAGCCACTTGGTTTTGTGGTTAGGAGGCATAACAGCGCTGTCTTAAAACACCCAGTTCCTGTACTGTCAAGATCATCCGACAGTACTGTACCACTAACGCATATGTGACAAACTAGGTGAGTAAGCCACAAAACAACTTTCAATTATTTACTATGGGTTAAGTGTTTTAAAGCACTTTGGCACAATACAATGGCCTCAGTGGGACATTACAAAGTCGTGATCAATTAAAAGTTATGGAGGGAAAGGAAATGGCTGAATCAAAAGTGGAATGTAGACGGACAAATGCTGCTATTAAACTTTATTTTGACTCAGTTTGTGCTCACATTTTTACAGGTATTGTCGGCATGAGGAAAAGAATACTGTCACAGGAAGTGAAATCTATAGTTGCTAATGATCGCAGGTTCTTGTTGTTTTTGATGAAGTAGAGATTACTGGAAAACATTTTGATTGTTTTGCTGGTTGATAACTTTGGATCAGAACGGACAGGAAGCTTTGTTGTTAGCACCCATAAAGGAGGTTGATCCTCTTGATATCCCAATCGGACATTCCGTTCCTCTGGCCGATCTGGGCGTTTTCGTTGGGGATGGGAGTGATGGAGTCCCTTCCATTGATAGAAAAGGCGGTTTTTCCATAGTGCATGATGGAGGAGTAGTCGTAGGGAGTGTTCAGGTTGTTGGTGTCCTCCTTCTGGAAGTTGTAGGCATTCTGAGGGTCGATGTTCTCCCAGTTGATCCGAACGTAGCTATCACGGTCGCTCCTGGTCTGCTCGTGATTGAAGCCCAGAGCGTGGTTGACCTCGTGCTGGACGATGCCGTAGTAGACGCAGCCCTGTCTGTTGAGAGAGACTACCTGTCTGCCACCTGTTCTGCCCATAGAAGAGAAGCATCCGCCTCTGCTCTCGATGCTTATGTGGTCGTTCTCGTTGCTACGGGGGACAAAGCGGATGCAGGTGCCTGTGTGGAAGGACTTCAAGCCTCTGTCGATGACCTGCGTCTCTGCGCCGGTGAACTCATTGCTGATGACGAAGGGAATCGTCACCAAGCCGTTGGAGGCTTTCTTCCAGAGGCACTGCTGGTAAAAGCACTTCATTGCATTTCTGGTAGTGGGAACCAACAAGTCTCCTTGCAGCAGCATCTCATGGGAGCCGTTGTTGGAGTTCAGAATCCTGGTGCTGATATCGATGCTGTCATCTTCGTCCATTTGGTCATTTGCTTCGCTTCCTTCATCAACGAGAGGATATGCTTCTGAGAACCCCAGCAGGAGCAGCAGCAGCAGACTAGCAGTGGGAGTCATCTTCA